TGCTTGGATGCAGCGCGAAGGGCTTCGCTAGTAGAATGATTGAGTTAGCTGCCTCAACCTTGCCTTCTCATGTTTCTTACTTATAAATGCTTGTTTCTTATCTGGTTTTCTTACTGGTTTTGGTTTTGGGTTTCCTCCCCACCTTACCCACTTTAATTGTTCCTTAGCCCAGTCATCAATAACCTTCCTGTCTGTACCCACACCCGTCTCCTCCTCAGGGTCCCAAACTTTGCCAATTTTATCCTTGTAAATCCTAATGCTCCTTGAGAATCTTACAATGTTCATATGTAGCATCCATTGGTTCAGATGTCCTTGAGTCCTGTCCAGTGTCCCAGATGCCGGACCCCTCCTAGATGGCCCTTGACCCTCACCCCTGCCCTCCTCTCCCTCCACTGAAGTCCCTTTACCCTCGTCTCCAGTTATGCGCAAACCTTCCGTAGTTATCTTCACCAATTTACCCTTTACAAGCTCCTTATGAGCCTTATTCCTTCTCTGTCCCTTAATTGCTTCCAGTGATCTTCCTGGGCAGAGTGGTAATAGTGCTTCATTCATGAACCTCGCTCCCTTCATCATCAATGCAGCTTCCTAATCTGCTAACTCAGCTGGTGTCCATTGCACAAATCTTCTACTGTTATGGTCTTCTTTGGTTGCCTGATCAACTAAATCCTTGTGTATCCTCGCTAAATGCACTGACAGGCCCCGCCTGTTCCCAAAAGTTCAATTTCAAAAAAAACACATCGCTCCTCCCTCCGATGCTCCCTCCCCTTGCTTCTCCACCTCCCCTTCCTCCCCCACCTAAACTTGGATGTTCACCCCCCCCCCCAGGGGAATCCTCCAGGGACAAAAAAAAACGTCCATAGTCCTCGCATGAGTCGTCATGTGAGTCCAACCAGTTATGTTCTGTACTTAAGTTCATCTTGTGAATCACCCTTTAGTGCAGGTACAGGGGTGAAGACCCTGCACCGTACACCAACTGTAAGTTAGTAAGTGCGTCAGTCAGTCAGTCAGTGCGGCCTTTGCATTTGTTTTGAGACGTGTACTAGTGACCAGATCTGGCAAAGGTAGGTGAGATCCCAAATATATACCAGTCTTCTAAGGTGTTAGCATCAACTACTGCCCCAGATGCTAGGGAGTAGTTATGTTTCACCACTGAAATTCATCAGCCATAACCACCAGTCACTATGCTCTCACTTGAGAGAGTCATAGTGGTCTGTGCTACATATTGAATTTTACCCTTCTCACATGTTATACAGTAAACTATATTTCTGGTCTTACAGTTAAAAGTGCAATTAATCTCAATCTTCTTACTGGTATTAAAGGATTGTTAAAATGTTCCAGGCTCTATGTAGGGACAAGTTAGGCAATTAAAACCACAAGTATTAGCCTCTTTGGTCTCATTCTAGACGGATCTGGAATTCTGGCTTTATCCCTGATATTAGGAGGTCTCCTACAGGTAACCAATGGGGGATATTGTTAAGCCTCCTTCTTCCAAGGTTCCTGGACTATGGTTCTCCAATGTTTCTGTATAATTGAGAAGATATAAGGTAGTTGAGGATCAAATGCGATAGAGATAATAACCTGATCTGGTTTCTCCTTTTTCTTCCCTTTTTTTAAAAGCAATTTCTCTAGGTATAGCTTTAGCTCAGACTATAGCAGAGTCCACAATTGATGAATTGTAATCCCTGTTGAGAAAAAAATCTTTTAGTTTTGAGAATTGTGAATCCCTATGTTCTGGTTTGCTGAAAATTTGTACAATTCTGTATGCAAGTGAATAAGGTATGTCGTTAGAGATATGTGATGGGTGGCAAAATGATGTTTGACCTCCTTTCAATTAGGGGAGCTAAAGAGATAAAAGTATAAAATCTCTGAAAATTAGTCATGTGAAGTATCATATCATGAGTGTTTTAGGTGTTCCGATTCCATTCAGAGAACCTTTAGGCTAAAGATGATCCCAAAGGTTTGCGTTGACCTCCAAATGCTGTATCCATGACTATTCCAGAACATATGGAACAGTCCCTTTGATGCAACTCAGGGATCTCTGGGAATGAGTCAATACACACCCAGACCAACGCAGTAAACACAAGTTTCCCTGCACACATAAGGTTTTGGGTCCTGTGCTTCATACAGCACAAAGATTATAATATTGTTACAGTGTTCCTAGTAAAAAAAAACAGAATGAGGTTGATCATGAGGAATTCAGCTGGATCCTCTGAAGACAAAGACATTGATTCCGTGGATCTTGCACCCTTTAGTAGTTGTCACATCACTCCTATCCTGACAGTGCCTGCTGAGGATAAGGATAAGTCCGGAGATGGAGACTGCAGAGCATTCACCTGTTGAGGCTGAGGTTGATCCATCAAGGCCACCTACCCATCTAGGACCCACATCTGATGAGATCCTTGCTCATGCATTTGATAAAGTCCAGGATCTACTCCATCATGTAGGTAGTCATATTTCAACCCCTTGAGTAAGGAGGACAGCCACCTCATTGAAGGGTTAAATAACATCCTTGTTATAGAGGTAAAGTTGAACAGTATTGTCAATGCCCTCTGAGAAGAGATCTCCAGAGATCCTTCCAATGATAATCATTATCCTGAACAATAAATAAGGATTATATTATAATATCAATAACAGTTATTAATATAATGTTTGTCATTACATATTAATCCATAATAATAATAATAATATGTTTAGAAATATATATATATATGTAGACACAATGTTATTAATTTCATTTACTGGGAATGTTTGGGTCAATTCGAATGTCCAAATACAACACAAATGTAATTTTTTTTTGATATTCTATATTTTGAATTATGGTTTTTTTCAAATTATATATTCCATATAAAGTACGAGACACTCAAAAACTAGGATGATCATTTTAGGAAAGTTAAAAAGAAAATGGTTTGCTTTAGTTTTGGACATTTGAATTTTGATAAGCCAGTTGTGGGACATGATGAGCTGGGAGCTGCCGATCATAGCAGTGTTGATCAGGATGCACTGTTCAAGCGGATCCTATCCACTTGGGGGACTTAGTCCTGTTGGCTATATACTTTTAGTTATAGTATTCATTCAGAAATTGTTAAAAAAAAAAAAACATTAAAGGTTATTGATCAAAATAGTAATCCAAATTGATTAAAAATGAACAACATAATAATTTAAATTAATAATGCACTTTAAAAAATATTATATAGTATAGTTTATTTCAGCCAGGCTCAAATTCTTTAAATTTGGCCTCTGCATTAAGATAGAGAAAGATATTTAATTTGTTTCCTTACTTGTTTCATAAAATACAGAGAAGGTGTGTATAAATAGTTATATTTTATTGAAATCTAACATGTTATAAGCTTTGTGCAGAAACTGCCAATCAGGGGCGTTTTAAGAAGTATCAGGTTTTAGGACACTCCCAAATACGAAAAGAATAATGACGGTTGTACTTGTACAAATTTGTCCTAAAATTGTCACATGCCATCATATTGGACTTTAAAGTATGTGATAAATCAGAACTGAAACTTGAATTTCTCCAAATCTTTGATGTGGTTTTTTTTCAGAATTCCCTTGGTCAAAAATTTAGATTTTTTACATTTTGAGTTCAGGTTGAACCCAGCTCTTTAGCGCAGATTTAGTTTCTTTCCTGAGTCTTTTTAAACTTAATTCGTAGATTTAATGTGTAAACTCTGGTATTTGCACCTATTTTTCTGCATTTATGGAGTTGAAAATGAAGGTCAATGACCTATGATATAAAATTTTTTCGTCATCCGTGCACCATGTTAATAGCCCACACTAGAGGTTGCTTTCAACATTTTTGACTCATATCTTCATTTTTAGAACCAAACACAGACTGTATAACGTTTGGTATCACAAAGTTTTGTTTTGTTTAGATTTTCTTAAAACTAAAAATATTGGTCACAATACATAATCCAGAGTTCAAACGCAAAAAACGATTCTAAGTTACATTCATTCAAACATAATTGATAGCAACTAGCTACCTTGTAACCCCCCCCCCCTTGCTATGCCTTCTGGAACCACAGTGCCTTGGTGGAAGGGAACAACTATTTTTGAAGATGTAAAATTAGACTTATTGAATTGAATTGGTAATTAAGTTATATAGATCCAAAGGTTAAAAAGTTAAAAATATTTTACACACTTAATTTTTAATTGATCATTCCAATACTAGATTTTTTTACCTACAGTTGTTGACATATGACCCAGACTATGTTTGCTTATTTGTAAGGTTGGCTGTAAAGGTTGGCTGTAAATGTTGGCTTTAAAGGTTGGCTGTAAATGTTGGCTGTAAAGGTTGGCTGTAAAGGTTGGCTGTAAAGGTTGGCTGTAAAGGTTGGCTGTGAAGGTTGAATCTCTCTCTCTTCCACTTCAAGGCATTAGTTGCAAAAAATCTCGATGGATGTATTTCAAACCTCGAAAGCATAAATAATGTAATGACAATGTTTAAAATGTTTTCAAAATTGCAGGGTATATATTTATAAAGATAATAAACTATTGTAATGATGATATTTTGAATTGTTTGTTTAACGAGTTTACATTGTACATAGTTAGGGGTATAAGTAAAACTTACTATTAGGTCTTAAAAACACAAAAGTGGAGTGATGAGTTAAAGGCTAAAACATAGGTAACTTCTGAAAATAAATGCTGGGTTAAAGGATGTTTTAGGATTTTATTTCTTCATCACTTCAACTTAGATTCTGAATTTTTGTTTATGAATTGACGGAGGTCTGAAAAGGTTTGGTTTGGTATGTGTATTCAGGCTTCGGAGAGAAAATTTTAACAAAGACGACCTTCAAGAGGATTTAAGAGGATTTGACAACAACAGTATTAATTTGATAATTAAGATTTTGAATTCGAATCTTTGTTTTTAATCCAATAATAAATTTGTCATAAATTATTTTGAATCTATATTCTTTTAACGACTAGTTGGCTTAAAATAAAAATAATAATAATTTAAATTTTTTAATATTTTTGTTGAATATATGTTTGTGTAGTTAGACTAGATGATGTTTTCCCTGTGTCTGGTGAAGATTGGAATGCATCAGCAAACACTGCTTTTAAAAATGTTACTTTGGTAAGTCTTTGTTGGAGGGTATATGGGTCTAAAGGAGTGTTCCCATATGTCCCCTTTTTAAAATCTTTTTATGATCAATAATGAATGAGATTTACACATTTATCTTTTGGAAATTATTTTTAATTGTGGTTCTCTATAAAAGTGATTTGCGGATATTGCGTTAGAAATACAAAAATGAAACTTTCATAATTAAACATTTTTCAAGCTAGAAAAGGCGACGATGTCTTTAATATTATTGATATTTTTGATCAGATAATAATGACAAGGGTACCATTGTGAGTCGAACATGTGATGCTGAGCTAATGTTTGATATTTGTGTTTAGGGAAAGGAGTTCCGAATGTGCCTGGAGACTCCTGCAGAACCAGATCAACCTCTAACTGTATCTCTTTATGAGTCCTACTCTGATTGTGTAGGTTTTTATCTTTTTTAAATGAAATAATAATAAAATTGAAATCAACCGTATATTTTGACTTCTCTTTTGTTTCAAAGCCATTGAATTAAGACACAAACATTTCATAAAATTACCTATAACACTATTATTTTGGCATGACGTTATATTATTTTTGGACTTAAATTTTCTCTATATCTAGAAGGTTCTCGCTTTTTTAGATTATATATTTTTCCTTGCTAAAGCTCGGGACAAAATTAACTCTAAAATGGCTTGAACCTTCTCGATAAAAAGAAAATTTCTGTCCAAAAACTTTGTAACACTGTGAACCAAAATAACAGTGATATAAATAGTTATTAATTATGCAATTGCAATTTTGTTCAGCGGACATCTGACTTTATCGCCAGACTATCTGACAAATTCCAATCATGAAATAAGTGCATTACTTATTGTGCTCACTAGTTGAAATCTGCCCTACTGGATTTAAATTGTGGGAACATGAGCCAGTGGCATATAGACGCATGTGGAATATATTTTTATTTTTAAACATTCATATCTTATTCAGAGGCGTATTTAGGGGGGGGGAGCAATGGGGGTAATGGGGGCTAAGCCCACCCTGGATCAGTGAAATCTATTGATTTCAGTGGGTTTTCAGGCCCTAACGGGTGCTGTGCCCCCCTGGAGAAAAAAATAATTAATCCCCCCTGGACAAATTCCTGAATACGCCCCTGGACACTGGACAGGCTAGGGGGCCGAGCACTGCGGCTAGGACAGATACATTTTTATTTTTAAACATTTATATCTTTTTAATTCTAGATCTTACAACGCTTTTGAGGGTACCGTACCGCTATAGATGGAGAGTCACTTGAAATAATGTGCACACTCCCTTTAAACTCTTGTCTACGAAATTGCTTTTAATAATCATCTCGATGTTTTGTCCAATTTGCATTGAGTTTAATATTTATAAAACACAAAACAAAACAAAAAAGTAAAATAGTTTGTTCCAATTTTTGAACAAAATCCTGACACTGTTAAATCCCTGATATTTGTATTGTAATCCTGAAATCAGGGTCGCAATGTTCGATTGCAACCCTAGGAATGTCATTTGGAACCCAACAAGATTTTATGAAGCCTCGGCATTGTAATATTCCCTCCTATATTTATACCATCCACTTTGCCTCTCTGTAATCAAGAGATAAACAGTTTTTATATTTGAAGGATGTTAGCATTAATTCCTTGATGGTTTATCTCAATCATGCACGATGCAAGGATAGGAGGCATATTCAGGTAGATCAAGTATATCTAATCTATTTCAGAGATGTATATCTAATCTATTTCAGAGGTATATATCTAATCTATTTCAGAGGAGTGTATTTAATCTATTTCAGAGGTGTATATTTTATCTATTTCAGAGATGTATATCTAATCTATTTCAGAGTTGTATATTTAATCTATTTTAAAGGTATATATAATCTATTTTTGAGGTGTATATCTAATCTTTTTCAGAGGTATATATCTAATCTATTTCAGAGGAGTGGATCTAATCTATTTCAGAGGTGTATATCTAATCTATTTTTGAAGTGTATTTCTAATCTATTTCAGAGGTATATCTAATCCATTTCAGAGGAGTATATCTAATCTATTTCAGAGGTGTATATTTAATCTATTTTTTGAGGTGTATCTAATCTATTTCAGAGGTGTATCTAATCTATTTCATAGATGTATCTAATCTATTTTAGAGGCGTATATTATCTTTTTTAGAGACGTATCTAATCTATTTTAGAGGCGTATCTAATCTATTTTAGAGGCATATCTAATCTATTTTAGAGGCGTATCTAATCTATTTTAGAGGCGTATCTAATATATTTGAGAGATGTATCTAACCTATTTTAGAGGCGTATCTAATCTATTTTAGACGCGTATCTAGTCTATTTCAGAGGCGTATCTAATCTATTTTAGAGGCGTATCTAATCTATTTCAGAGGCGTATCTAATCTATTTCAGAGATGTATCTAATCTATGTCAGAGATGTATATAATCTATTTTAGAAGCGTATCTAATCTATTTTAGAGGCGTATCTAATCTATTTTAGAGGCGTATCTAATCTATTTNCTCGGGGGTTGAAGATTGGACTAGAACCACGCTTTGAATCTTAAAAGATAAAATTTGCAACAAAAAACGAAGAGAAAATATATCATTGTTATATTCTAGGTCAAGTTTACTAAACCTGACAGTGGAACTAAAAATAAACATAATTATTTATTCTAGGTCAAGTTCATCAAACCTGACAGTGGAACTAAAAATAAACAGGCCAGTTTGCGTTTTACTTTATTTAAGAATTTGTGTTCTGATTTTTAATAGTTGTTTTTTATATCAATTTCATTCTCTTAACTTGTAAATGCATTTTCCTTACATAGATTTTTGATTAGCCTAAAGAAATATGATAAAATTTGTCACCGATAATTGATATATTCCAGAAATAAACAAATACGATATTTTTTGCTTGTTAGAAATTCTGCCGAAAATAAGTTTTTTTTTAAATAACTTGTGAATAACTACAATTATAAGATCTTTCCTGAAAACATGTAAATAATTTTTAATTAAAAATAATTTAAAAAAAGTTTATTTAAATGTGATGTTTGTTTAGGGGTTTAACATGTTCAATGCTAATATTCTACCTTGGGGACCTTTCCCTCCACGCCTTCCACAGCCACGTCCTCGACCTTTAAAGGTATACAAGTCAGAGCTTTTGATTTGTCCAGCTTGAGATCAAGCATTGATCTCCTCTTTTTATTAATCTGCAGATTAATTTAATCTTATATCCAGGAAAGTGTATAAAATTCAACCAATCGGAGTGCCGATTGAAAAACCTGAAACAGCCAATCAGAAGCAAAGAAATTTTGCGATGAAGTGGTCCAAAAAAAAATCAAAAGTGTCCACAATGGATACAGAGATATAGCAATCGAGATTAAGGGTATCATGAATACCAAAGTGAATAAAAACTAAACAGGCAGAATAAAGACGACTAGTTGGTTTGTGTGATGTAATTTCACGTATAGTGCTGGAATAAAGTGTGTAAACAAATGTTAATTTAGTGCTGAGCCCGTTCTCTCCATCAGAGGTCGTGAAGTTCTCGTACTTTGGGGGACGATAGTTTGGCCGCTAGATGTCTCACGCAAAATTCTTTTCTAATAGATAGATAATTCATACGAGAGACATATAGCGGCCAAACTATCGTCCCCCAAAGTACGTCAACTTCACGACCACTATCTCTTGAGAGAGCGGGTTCAATACGCTGAGTACACTCAGTACGCTGAGTACACTCAGTACAAACAGACTATAAGGGCCACGTAATATTATTCTAAATTACTTGTGACATGAAATGTCGTCATCCAACTACGAGTTTGGTCCACTTTAGTATTTATTCACTTTAATCAAATACAAGAGATTTTAGCTCTTCAAGTCAGAGCTTTTGAATTGTAAATCAAAGGATCAAGCATTGATCTCCATCTTATGCAGACCTTCGGATAATGTTATTTTCTCTTCAATGGAGATCATACCCTGCAGGGATAGCTTTATTAGAGGAATTAAGCATTTAATCAGATTTTAGTTAGCAATAGTAAAATCATATAACTATAAAACCTCACTTAATTTTGAGTGTGAGTGCAACCCTGAAAGTCAGATTAGATTTTATTTATCCTCTGATTAGAAGTGCCCTCGTTTGATATCAAGATCAAAATTGATTAAAAGTTCCGATCTCCGTTCAATAAATCGTTCAAAAGTTTCGACCTGAGATTAAAGAAAGGTATTGTTACCTAAACCTGATTTTTAATTTTTTTCCCAAAGAATTCGCCTCACACTTTAATTTTCTAAACCCTCTATCTTAGCAACCTGATGTTTTAACCTTAGTAAGATATTTGAAACATTCAACATTATAGATCTAATTTTTTCATATCAAAGGTCTACGAAACCAGAGATGGATTGTTTAAACATTAGATAATTCAAACATACAACATTATATATCTAATCTTAAAATATCAAAGGTCTACGAAACCAGAGATAGATTGTTTTAAACTTTAGATATTTCAAACATTTAACATTATAGATCTAATTTTTTAATATCAAAGGTCTACGAAACCAGAGATGGACTGTTTAAACCTTAGATATTTCAAACATACAACATTATATATCTAATCTTATAATACCAAAGGTCTATGAAACCAGAGATAGATTGTTTTAAACTTTAGATATTTCAAACATACAACATTATATATCTAATTTTTTAATATCAAAGGTCTACGAATCCAGAGATGGATTGTTTTAAACTTTAGATATTTCAAACATACAACATTATAGATCTAATTTTATAATATCAAAGGTCTACGAAACCAGAGAAAGGATGTTTTGTGTGGAGTATCGTTAATCTTAAACAATCTCAATATCTAACATGGGAACTTTTTTTGAGATTAATTGCTTAATCCCGTAATCAAAGTTACCCCTGCAGGGTATGACCACTACAGGAAATTGAAGAGAAATTGGTTCATCCGTAGGTCTGCACAGGGCATATCATAAAGATGAAAAATCCTGAGATTTAAAAGTTCTGACTTCAGAGCTGAAAACTTTTGAATGGAATATCCTTAATTCAGATCGGTTATTAATCTGGAGATTAACAACAAGAGAAGAACAAGCATTATTTAATTTCGAGAATAAGAAAAAAAGTGGATCAAGCATTAATCCCGATATCCACCATTCAAAAGTTCCCAGCTCTGGTTTCAATTTCATCAATTGAACACAACGATTCTTATGTGAATCTTAATGAACTTGAAATATCAAGTTTAAAATGTTATTTTTTTATTTAGGTTTTTACTCCTGGGACTGAGATCAAGTGCAAGGTTGTAAGCGTTGTTTCACCAAATAGGTTTGTTCATTCAGTACAGTAGAGTACAGTACAGTACAGTACAGTACAGTTAGGTTTGTTGATCATTCTCACAAATAAGTTTTTTATTTAGTTTTCCCACCAATTTTTTTAGACTTTGGAAATCTCGAAATGTTTTTTACTAAATAAATGTTCTTTCTTCTTTGCAACAATTTTTACTATTTTTATTCTGAATAGGATCTGTGTCATTCCAGAAGAGTTCATTTCTGAAGAGATAAATCTAACAACACGTATTATAGAAGAGGTAACAAGAGAGTTTTATAATTGTAGAGAGTTAATTTACTAATCCCTTTTACATACAGAGAGGTAACAATAGAGTTTTATACTTGATTATTTTAAATTTCAATCTCTCAGAAACCTTTAGTGGGGTCATGTGAGTTGCCACATCAAACTTGGGCCCGATCGGTTTAGTCGGTTTAGATCGGTTTAGTCGGTTTAGTCGGTTTAGTCGGTTTAGTCGGTTTAGTCGGTTTAGTCGGTTCAGTTGGTTTAGTCGGTTTAGATCGGTTTAGATCGGTTTAGTCGGTTTAGTCGGTTTAGTCGGTTTAGTCGGTATAGTTGGTTTAGTTGGTTTAGTCGGTTTAGTCGGTTTAGTCGGCTTAGATTGGTTTAGATCAGTTTAGTTGGTTTAGTCGGTTTTGTCGGTTTAGTCAGTTTAGTCAGTTTAGATCGGCTTAGATCGGCTTAGATCGGTTTAGATCGGTTTAGATCGGTTTAGTCGGTTTAGTCGGTTTAGTCGGTTTAGTCGGTTTAGTCGGTTTAGTCGGTTTGACGATTATTGGATACAAACAGATAGACAGAGTATATATATATATATTTTCCATCATTCCTATTTTTTCTATAAATGTGTCGGTAGGAAGAAAGATCGTGGTGTTGAAGGAGCTGAAGAATGGGGTTAAAGGTCTAGCTAGGAATTCTATATTAATGTCTAGTTAGGAATTCTAGAATAAATGTTTAGCTAGTAATTCTAGTATAAATGTCTAGCTAAGAATTATAGTATAAATGTCTAGGTGAGGAGGGAGGGCGTGGTGTTGAAGGAGCTGAAGGTTGGAATTAAATGTTTAGCCAGGAATTCTAGTATGTCCTTCTGTAGAGGGGTCCTCCTTGAGGTCGGAGAAGACAGGTTGGTGATCTAATCATTCCCCAGATAAAGTGATAGTTGAGAGAAGCTTGAGGTCATTTTTGATCTTTTACATAATATGCGGCATTCATTATTAATGATAATTGGTACAAGAATTTTCTCCTATCAGTAGTTTAACAAATGAAGATCAAAGACGACTTTTATGTTGTCTCTCAACTCTATACGGTCCCTGGGCACATACTTTATGTTGGGTGTTAAATATGCTGTGCTAAATTGTGAATATAATTTTCGGGTAAAAATTATTGTAGGAGATTGGGTAAAATCTCCAGTTGATGTTAAATTTTTAGTTTTTCCCTCCTATTATTCAACAGTTATTGAAACTTTTAACATTGAATTGCCTAGATTCGTTAAAATCCAAAGTGTCTTATTTTCTCTTGTTAAAATGTATTACATGAGTTTTTTCCGGCCCAAAATAAAATGTTTTAACCAAAGTCCATATCATGATGAAGGATGAGTTTTATTTTTGATAGAGTGCAAGAG